AGCATCCAAATAAGCACCATTCGAATCAGCACACTTTTGCCAATGTGGCAGCAGTCGAGAAATCCCATCAAAGAAAAAACTGGGTGGTCGAGAATCCACGAAATCTGCGAAGGTCTTTTTTGCCTGGTCTTAATTGATGAAGTATTTTTCAGCAAGGAAGTTCTGAAAATGTCTGAAAAGGTGACAGTCGGTTGGTGAAAGGTCTAGAGAATATGGTGGGTGAGGTAGAACTTCAACTCCCAATTCGTTCAATTTATGGATAGTGATTTGTGAAACGTGTGGGCGGGCGTTGTCATGCAAAAGAATCGGACCCTTTCTTTTGATAAGTGTTGGCTGCAGCTGACAATATTTTCGGTACATTTGGTCGGTTTGTTCACAGTAAGGGTTCTGCTGTGATGGTTTGGCCTGGTGATGAAAAGTTATAGTGGATTACAACAGCCGATGACCACCAAACCTGACCAGAATTTTTTTTCGCGAGGGTTCGGCTTTGAAAAAAATTACCGGTCTGGGGTGCGCGTCCTTCATCAAGCCACTGTCGGAACGTCTCCTGTTATCTACATGACCCATTTTTCATCACAGGTGACAAGTCGGTCCAAAAACAGGTCGTTTCTGCTGCGCAAAAGCAATGCAGAAGGAACCTCGAGACCGATTCCTGCCGGTCACTCCGATTGTGGGGCACCCAATTGTCGAGTTTTTTCACCTTCCCAATGCGTTCCAGACCATCTGCAACAGTGGATTTGCCAAGGCCTAGCTCTTCTGCTATCTCTCGAACTGTTTGGGATGGGTCAACCTTCAAAATCCTCCCTAAAATCCTCGTCGATATTGCTTTAGGGTCGACCGCTATGAGGCTCACCTTCAAGGCTGAAATCTCCAGAGCGAAATTTATTGAGCCATTGCCGCACAGTGCTTTCTTTAGCACTATTGGGCCCCCCACACCTGGTTAATTTGTTGAGCTGTTTCGATTGCGGATTGCCCCAATTTATAGCCGAAGAAAAAATCGTCCGAAGTGCTCTTTTCACATGCTTGAAAAAATCTTGAAAAAAAGGGGAGGGTTTATCAGCCATGGTGAAACGCGACATGAATACCATCAGATAAGCGCAAGAATTTCTTCGTACAGAGATGCTGCTATGAAGAAGCAAGGCACGAATTGTTTTTAATAGCAGTGATGTACAAAGATTAGGTGCACAAAACGCTAAGAACTTTCCGGACAACCTAATACAATCCCACCTTAAAAACCAGATTCCACGAGCAATCTTTGGTCGATGGATGCTGTGAAAAAAACCATCGTTGCCTAAGCGCAGGTTCTATTACAGGATAATTCACTTTTGTGACATGTGTGTGTTAGTAAAAGCGAGAAGTAAGTAAAGGTGAACCAGTGCCCAAGAAGAGGAGAAAAAGCGAGCAGCCACGAGCCACTACATTTGCTCTCTTGGCATAAGCTCGCTTTCATGATACGCTGTACGGGGTAATGCTCTCACTAGGAAAGGTACCCGCACCAGTACCTGCTAGTTGATCGTTGCCATCTACGAGGCACGCAGGATCCTATCCAACGGAAGTGTCTCATGTAGGTACCCGGCATGTTGTGTGAGAATATAAGCGGGTGTCGTGACTTTTCGCTGGGATGAGAAGTGTATTTGGACGGGCGTTGTTGGGAAAGAAGAGGGCAGCTACCGAGCTTGAAGAAATTTGCCGGCGTTGCGGGGAAATTTTATGTCTCGTTGTTGAGTCTTTGGTCTTTTTCCTGTGTTTCATGTGTACTGTACAGGAGGGCCAAAAAAAGCGAGGCGCTATAAATTACTCTTCATCAAGTTTTCATGGGACATTTCCACTACCATATTGAATAACATAGTGAGTGGGATTATCATGAACTTTGCCACAGATTTCTGGGGGACGGCGCATCTGAGAGATTCTGGCGCCGCGACCGCGAGTGGTGGCAGATCAGCGTGAGATAGTCGATTTTTCCCCACCGTACACCACCTAACATTGACTGCGCGCCGAATGCGGGTAATTAAAGGGATTCAGGTCAGTAGACCTACTTGGATATTCAATCTTCTTTAGGTACCCAGCCCCCTTCCATTCCAAGTAGGCGAGAGTTTCTCCAATGCCCTTCAAGTCCACGTGTTGACACCCCCAAATGCAGTAGCCGTACAACAGTTTCCCAAGATAGGTTACGGTCGACGACATTTCGAGGAAGATATTTTTTCAACGAGTTGCTCAATGTGAACCGCGATTGGTACTTTTCCATTGCCAGGGTACTCCGCGTCCCATACATTAACCCGCGCCTTGGCGACTGTGGTGAAGATGATGTCCTAGACCGTGGCGACGTTGACGAAGCTGCTCGATATTGGAGGTCATCCATATCGAGAGTGCTGGTCTCCAGGTAGCCAATCCATGGGTGACCTCCGATTCTGGAATTTTCGCAGCTGTTGTGGTAGTGCATGATTGCCGAGGTCTTTCCAGTCGGCTTGCGGAATGGAGATGACTTCATATTTTGTTGTGTACAGAACGGTGATCGGGCGAGGCCAGCTCCTGCTTGTAGTAGGAACCCATGTTTGCGGTATCTTCCGCTGTTACCCGCATTCATGTCAATCTGTCCTGGCAGCGAAAAACTCTCGCTCGATACATGTGAACTCGGTCAGGTGATCTTCTTTTGGCGCCCACCCCGTCTTACCGCTCTCCCGCGCCCCCGCAGCAAAATTCTTTGGAGGGAACAACTGGGAACTGTGGCGGCACTGGTTACGTTAGGTGCTGTGGAAGGGGGGGGTACCGACACCACCATTTCACACATCGCGAAGCGCTGTACCCTGGTCTCGTCACCGAAATTATATGGAAATGATGTTGTATGGTCGCGAAAGGCCACGGGGAATTACAAAATAAGGGCGCAGTTTGTCGACGGGGGTGGCATTCTGCTTTCCATAGATGTGCCGACCCATCTAGGTAGCCTTTTCTCGAGTTGACACGTTTTAGGATGGTGGCTAGACGATCTTGCACCAGCTTCACAAGTTTTACCAGGGTGAGATTTGTAAACCGGAACTAGGAGAAGCAATGGTAGTACAAAATGCCCCCCGTCGACAAACAGCGCCCGAAATAAGATCCCCCTAAAAATTTATTCATGCGATCCCTCCTCATCTTTCGTCCCACCTACCATCTTCCTGGATTTTGCTAGCTACTCGTCACTTTTTCGCTTCTGGAGCTTCTACCCGGAATTGCTTCATCTTCTCACACTTCTCTAAAAAGCTGCCGTCGAGCGAGGGATACATGACGTGCTTGAAACAGGAAAGTTCGAAAATCATCAACCAAAAACCTTTTTACAAAAGTAGGTAAATACGGCCCTTCTTCCTGCAGTGCCCAAGTACGCCTTCCACCTCCTCGCTGGAGTTCCTCAACGCACGACGTGTCCAGCTATCACCTCAGCCTTAATTCAGCGTAATTTTGAATGACAAAGGGACACACTTTTAGAGCTACGGGACCGTAAACTTCGCACATGCCAACTATTGCCTTTGGAGTGGGAGCGTGTCTTCAAGTACTTCATGTTAATTAGCCTTCGCTAAAGTTGATAAGATTTGTTTGCGTCAACTAAAATCTTTGTGGATCGGTTCTATGATTCATTCGAGATCTGCGCATTCCCCGTGAAAAAGGATTACCACTATTGCGCTGGTAGA